TATTATTTACTACACAAGCTGATCTTGTCAGAACACAACTAAATTCAACTGTTTCCACCTCAGAATCAGACGTCTCTTCTCACATTTCCATTGTTATTTCCTGCAGCTGTGGTTTCTAAAGCATCCCACCCACCATCAGTGTTTGTTTGAAGGGTGTAATGAGTGTAAGTGGAGCTCATATATCCTTTATTTTGTKTCTAACACACTGTTCTCATCACTTCTCACCCTGCATCTTCTTCTTTCTGTGCAAATCTAACCTTCTGTGCAGTTTTACTGTTTCTTGTTCTTTAGCCTATAGTATTGCTCATATTTAGTCTTTCCTTTTCTTTCCTTCACCTATAAAAGCATTATAGTCTAAAAGGTTTCACTTGAATAATTTTTCCAATACAAAACACAGAAAAGTACATTGAAAATTAAAGAAAATGTTTGTGTTTGTTTACACTTTTTTGGCATCTTKTCCACTTTGGGAAGTTCAGGGTTTAGTTTGAATGTTTCCTGTTTTGTGACTTTTTCCACAAAATTATTCCCATTGAGTCCAGTTAAAATAGCTCAAAAGCATGGGAGTAGTTCAAAATAAAAGGCATTTGCATTTATGAGATCAAAAAGTAAAATGTTAAAAGTTAAAATGTCTTTTATAACAAAAACATTATTATTAATTCTGGATGTAGGATGTGCTTTTCCACACATGATCGTAAGTGGGAAAATGCAAACATAGAAAACGTTTCTAATATTTCACAAGTTTCATGAGTCATCACTTGACAGCAGGGCCGGCTCTTGGCATAGGCGAACTAGGCGGTCGCCTAGAGCGCCATCTGCTGGAGGGGGCACCAAACTGCAGAAGAAAAAAAGATTATTTGTAATCCCTGGTTGTAAATCTGCTAAGCTCCCCTTTCTATTACCTTTGTCTTAAAAAAAACTATAATGAAGTATTACAGGAAAAATAAACTACTCTACCCATAAAACATTTTCACCCCCAATGCAGCAATCGCCACCACCCTCTCTCTCTCATTTGATTGATGTTGCACTGACTCGTCCCGCTCCGACACTGATGGGAAAGGGGCTAGTAGTACCTCCCAGGTCGCAGTTTGTGTTGRCAAACTCAATAACAACAAGTCTGTATTTTGTTGTCCAATACATGTCAACCTCTTCAGACGTTTACTAAATCCTCATAAGTCCGTAAATTTTGCAAAAAATCCACACAACTTGCACCCGCAGTGGGGTCAGCCTCGCTGCGAAGCAGGAGGAAAGGAGAGCGGAAAAAGTTCAAAACTTATTTCTAGCGGCAGAACAGGTTGGAAGATGCCTTTTTGATGTTATTTATTGTTTTTTAAATCATCCTGCATGTTAGATAAATTTGAAAATGAGGTTTTGAAAAAATCCGTAAGACTTGAAAAAATCCGTAAGATTGC